TTTTTGAAATGGTGTAAAGTAAATAACTTATAAATGTATTATTCCCTAACAGATATTGGTTTTATGTAGTGATACAATAATATTGTTGTCTTTTTTAAAGAAGGCATGCAATGCAAATTTCAGGGTGAGATTGTGCACTTTGGTAAATCAGTAGAATTGAATACGTTAACAAAGGCTGAAATAAGGAAAACTGGCTTCTGTATGCTAATTGTTAGTAAAAGTTTTATGCTTTTAGTATGAGTACACGAGTAGTTTTGCAAAATTGTTAGTAATTCATTAGGGGCTATTCTTTTTGTGTTCGAGTTTTGTATTTTGAGTTTTGAATTCATTTTGGGTTTTGTGTTTTGAGTGTCCATTTTGAGATTCGTTCTTTATTTTCTTTGTAACTTTTTAACTTGTTTTCAAAAATGCATTTTCGAAAATGGGAAAGAGAACACGTTTTCAGTATTTTTTGGAAAATCGAAAACAAAAAATTGCTTGAAAATTGTAAAGAGAACAGGTCCTTAATTTTTCTCAAGATGTTCGATGTGGAAGACCTCCACATCTAATTTCTATAACTTCTTTTTGTATCTTTTAATTACTTAAATATCTTACAGCTTTACCAAAGACCAAGCATAAAGGGATTAGTTAGTAACTACTCGAGGTTTACATTTATAATCAAACAATATCTTGTCCTATAAAGCATGTTCGTGGATCAATATATTTTCTTTTGATGTTCAAAAAATGATTAGCTTGTCATTAAAATATGAAATTATTTATTGGTGATATACGTTTATGATATAGGTGAAACATCCTTTTTATGCTTACTATTCTCTCTGAAAAGTTTGAATTCGAAACGTGTGACTAGAAATCTCACATGTTATGCTTGCATCAATACAAATAAACATAAGCATGCTCTCGTGTATTTCTCATGCAAATATTCATCTCTGAAGCATCTTAGAAATATTCTTTAGTAATTTGGACCAGAACAGATAGAACATTCGGTTTTTGTTACTCTGGCCGTATTTACTTGCTCTCATTCATTACCCTCGCATTATTCCCTTAGTTGCCTGGTCGTACAGATAATGAGATCAAGAACTACTCGAACACTAGAATGAAAAGAAGACTACGTGCTGGTTTACCAATCTAACCTTCTGAAATATGTTTCCAAACATTAAATGAGAACCAAAGAAAAACGAGGACTTTGGTACTTCCTCTCAACATCACTTGAAATCCCACCTGTGGAATTCAAATCTTTGGAACTTAATCATCAGTTATATACACCGACACTTTGTGATATTCCTCAGACTAGCTTGCTTGATATTCCTGCAAGTAACCTTCCAGAGCAAGGTCTCAACCCTTCTTACACTGGAAAGCCTGTGCTCTCAACATTCTACCCTCAAAATGTTTTCAAGGATCAGAATCTTTGTATCCCTGTTTAAATACCCCTGTTTGTGATGTTGCCCCAGGAGGCATTCAATAGCCAAATGATGGTTTGGTGCAGATTGCTCAATCTGCACTTCCGTCTGCATAAGAAAATAACTCACATTCTGGCCATCCAACATTTTCGAGTTCAATTCGCGGCTGCCACTCCGCTTAAATGGCAACTCTATCTCTGAGCCTGGTTGGGTGATGAAGCTAGAGCTCCCTTCACTCCAAACTCAAAGACGTAATTGGGGCTCACCCTCTTCTCCACTTCCTCCTTCCCTTGAATGTGTCGACACTTTGAAGCAGTCGAGCCTGTCCCAATGCAATACAACAACTCTGAGGCAGAAAACCTGACGATCTTCTCCAGGCCCGACTTCTTGCTTGGCTTCAACTGCTTTGTTCCTAACAGTGACCAGACTGGAGAACATTCCCTGCTGAAATATGCATTCGGGCAATTTCTTGTTGAGGATTTGAGCAGGGACTGCAAGCAAATGCTTCGGTAAAAAATGTGGGGCATAGTTTTTGTGCATGGAATACTATGTCTACTGTCTAGTCAATTATCCACGATCGAGGAAATCCCATTTATAAAATGCCCTGGTTAGAACTTTTTCAACTTTTGTATTTCCATGGTGAACGAAGTACTTAGTTTTAACAGTCGGTCATTGGAACATCATATTGGCTTCAAAAACCGGAACCGTTCTATGATGTTTGTATGAGTCTTGGAAGGTTCGGAGATAGGCACTAATTTGAGTGTGAATGATTTTTATGATAATGTTTTATGAATGATTTCTGGTCTTTAACTTTGAGGTTTTCAGTTTTCATAATAAAGTATTCACGTGCACAAGTCCCCTCACCTTCTGGATAGTACACTAATAGATTGTTAGGGTACGTTTGATTACAAGGGTGGAAAGAAAATATTTTATAGGGAAAAGATTTGCCTAAAAAATATTTTGCAGGGATAATGTTTTCAAATGTGATTAATTGGTATAATTTTTCTCCCGAAATATTTTTAAAT